GTCTTTTTTATATACTATAGACATGTTTATCCAAGTGCCGTAGGCCAGAGTGCATTGTCAAAAGTAGACCCAGGCAATCAAATTTCACCAGGCATTTTTGGTTTATGAGTCTGTGACGATCCGATTAAAAATTGCCTCAGGCAAAGTAGACCAAAGTGCAATTGACCAAGTGTCGTAGCTTAACTTGCCAGATCGGACGGGATGGCGTGCTTTCAACGCGGTATGGTCGTAATCACTGTGTTTTCAATTTCTCAATATTTAAGAAAAAATTCTCTAAGGCAAAGTGGGCGGGGCTATTTGTTGTTCGCTGTTCGCGGGAATGGTTTAAGGCAAAGAGAAAACGGGCAATTATAAAAATGTGTGGGAGAAAAATTAGGATTAAAAAAATTTTTTTGAAGAATTAAATTTTTCAAAAAAAATAAAGCTTATAATAATAAACTTTAATCTTTTTTTAAATTTAAAGTTTATTATTATAAGCTTTATTTTTTTAAAAAATTTAATGTTATTATTATTTTAAGCTTTATTATCAGATATTTTAAAGCAGCTTTATTCTAAATCTGATAATAATCATAAGCTTTATAATCCTAATTTTTCTCCAGCTGCAATATTTATTTGGCTCCAGACAATTGTCAGGAATTGCCATTGATAACTTTTGTGAAAGTGCCGCTGATAAATTGTAAATAATTTAGATATCTTTTGCAAAGGAAATTAAATATATAATAAGCTGTCATTAATTTTTTAATTTCAGATTATTTTCGAGATTTTATTCTAAAATTATCAATATAATCAATATTAATGACAGCTTAATTACCCGCAGACTGGGTAATTCCAGCTCTGCTAACTACCTAAATAAAAGATATCTGGTTGATCCTGCCTGAACTGATGTGTTCATTTCAAAGATTAAGCCATGCATGTATAAGTTTAATCGTTTTAACGAGAAACCGCGAACGGCTCATTACAATGGCCATGATTTACTTGATCTTGATTATCTAAATGGATAACTGTGGAAAAGCTAGAGCTAATACATGCACCAGAGCTTTGTCCTCTCGGAAAAGCGCATTTATTAGAACAAAACCACGCGGCTTCGGCTGCTTCTTGTTGACTCAGAATAACTAAGCTGACCGCATGGCCTTGTGCCGGCGGCGTGTCTTTCAAGCGTCCACTTTATCAACTTGACGGGAGCATAATCGACTCCCGTGGTGGTGACGGATAACGGAGGATCAGGGTTCGACTCCGGAGAAGGGGCCTGAGAAATGGCCACTACGTCTAAGGATGGCAGCAGGCGCGCAAATTACCCACTCTCGGCTCGAGGAGGTAGTGACGAGAAATAACGAGACTGTTCTCTTTGAGGCCGGTCATCGGAATGGGTACAATTTAAACCCTTTAACGAGTATCAAGCAGAGGGCAAGTCTGGTGCCAGCAGCCGCGGTAATTCCAGCTCTGCTAATACATAGAATTATTGCTGCGGTTAAAAAGCTCGTAGTTGGATTCGTATCGGTACCTTGGAACCCTTCGGGTGTTTCTGGGTGTTATCGATTTATCGTAATGTTCGGTTTTGAGTCCTTAACAGGATTTTTAACAGTCATTGCAAGTTTACTTTGAACAAATCAGAGTGCACTCCACGTGCAGGTGTAACGTCGGGGCGCAAAATCACTTGTATACGACTTGAATACTGGTCAGGGGGTTGTAAACAGTAGAGCAGCTCTTCGCTGCGATCTGCTGAGACTTAGCCCTTGATCGGATGATTTGTCTTTTTTATATACTATAGACATGTTTATCCAAGTGCCGTAGGCCAGAGTGCATTGTCAAAAGTAGACCCAGGCAATCAAATTTCACCAGGCATTTTTGGTTTATGAGTCTGTGACGATCCGATTAAAAATTGCCTCAGGCAAAGTAGACCAAAGTGCAATTGACCAAGTGTCGTAGGGTGTCGTAGGGTAATAGGGTTCCCCCAGGCAATCAAATTTCACCAGGCATTTTTGGTTTATGAGTCTGTGACGATCCGATTAAAAATTGCCTCAGGCAAAGTAGACCAAAGTGCAATTGACCAAGTGTCGTAGGGTAATAGGGTTCCCCCAGGCAATCAAATTTCACCAGGCATTTTTGGTTTATGAGTCTGTGACGATCCGATTAAAAATTGCCTCAGGCAAAGTAGACCAAAGTGCAATTGACCAAGTGTCGTAGGGTAATAGGGTTCCCCCAGGCAATCAAATTTCACCAGGCATTTTTGGTTTATGAGTCTGTGACGATCCGATTAAAAATTGCCTCAGGCAAAGTAGACCAAAGTGCAATTGACCAAGTGTCGTAGGGTAATAGGGTTCCCCCAGGCAATAATTATCTACTCAAGTATACTCAAGTAAAAATCATTTACTCAAGTATAAAATCATTTACTCAATTATACTCAAGTAAAAGGTATGTATATAATATAGGGTTCCCCCAGGCAATCATTATCTACTCAATTATACTCAAGTAAAAGGTATGTACATGATAAACTACAATTTATAAAAAACTTAAATAATTTTTTCTATAGACTCAAGTGTGTTTTCTTAGACTCAAATTTTTGCCAAAGCATTAAAAAAAGATTACGACACCCCCGATTCCCAGGACGTCTCCGTTCCAAGTACTAAGGAAGCCCAGCGTTGCTTAACTTGCCAGATCGGACGGGATGGCGTGCTTTCAACGCGGTATGGTCGTAATCACTGTGTTTTCAATTTCTCAATATTTAAGAAAAAATTCTCTAAGGCAAAGTGGGCGGGGCTATTTGTTGTTCGCTGTTCGCGGGAATGGTTTAAGGCAAAGAGAAAACGGGCAATTATAAAAATGTGTGGGAGAAAAATTAGGATTAAAAAAATTTTTTTGAAGAATTAAATTTTTCAAAAAAAATAAAGCTTATAATAATAAACTTTAATCTTTTTTTAAATTTAAAGTTTATTATTATAAGCTTTATTTTTTTAAAAAATTTAATGTTATTATTATTTTAAGCTTTATTATCAGATATTTTAAAGCAGCTTTATTCTAAATCTGATAATAATCATAAGCTTTATAATCCTAATTTTTCTCCAGCTGCAATATTTATTTGGCTCCAGACAATTGTCAGGAATTGCCATTGATAACTTTTGTGAAAGTGCCGCTGATAAATTGTAAATAATTTAGATATCTTTTGCAAAGGAAATTAAATATATAATAAGCTGTCATTAATTTTTTAATTTCAGATTATTTTCGAGATTTTATTCTAAAATTATCAATATAATCAATATTAATGACAGCTTAATTACCCGCAGACTGGGTAATTCCAGCTCTGCTAACTACCTAAATAAAAGATATCTGGTTGATCCTGCCTGAACTGATGTGTTCATTTCAAAGATTAAGCCATGCATGTATAAGTTTAATCGTTTTAACGAGAAACCGCGAACGGCTCATTACAATGGCCATGATTTACTTGATCTTGATTATCTAAATGGATAACTGTGGAAAAGCTAGAGCTAATACATGCACCAGAGCTTTGTCCTCTCGGAAAAGCGCATTTATTAGAACAAAACCACGCGGCTTCGGCTGCTTCTTGTTGACTCAGAATAACTAAGCTGACCGCATGGCCTTGTGCCGGCGGCGTGTCTTTCAAGCGTCCACTTTATCAACTTGACGGGAGCATAATCGACTCCCGTGGTGGTGACGGATAACGGAGGATCAGGGTTCGACTCCGGAGAAGGGGCCTGAGAAATGGCCACTACGTCTAAGGATGGCAGCAGGCGCGCAAATTACCCACTCTCGGCTCGAGGAGGTAGTGACGAGAAATAACGAGACTGTTCTCTTTGAGGCCGGTCATCGGAATGGGTACAATTTAAACCCTTTAACGAGTATCAAGCAGAGGGCAAGTCTGGTGCCAGCAGCCGCGGTAATTCCAGCTCTGCTAATACATAGAATTATTGCTGCGGTTAAAAAGCTCGTAGTTGGATTCGTATCGGTACCTTGGAACCCTTCGGGTGTTTCTGGGTGTTATCGATTTATCGTAATGTTCGGTTTTGAGTCCTTAACAGGATTTTTAACAGTCATTGCAAGTTTACTTTGAACAAATCAGAGTGCTTCAAACAGGCGTTTTCGCTTGAATGATCGTGCATGGAATAATAGAAAACGATTTCGGTTCAGTTTTATTGGTTTTACGGACTGAGATAATGGTTAACAATAGACAAACGGGGGCATTTGTATGGCCCCGTGAGAGGTGAAATTCTTGGACCGTGGCCAGACAAACTACAGCGAAAGCATTTGCCAAGAATGTCTTCATTAATCAAGAACGAAAGTCAGAGGTTCGAAGGCGATCAGATACCGCCCTAGTTCTGACCGTAAACGATGCCAACTAGCGATCCGCTGATGGAAATTATATTGCCTTGGTGGGGAGCTTCCCGGAAACGAAAGTCTTCCGGTTCCGGGGGAAGTATGGTTGCAAAGCTGAAACTTAAAGGAATTGACGGAAGGGCACCACCAGGAGTGGAGCCTGCGGCTTAATTTGACTCAACACGGGGAAACTCACCCGGCCCGGACACTGTGAGGATTGACAGATTGATAGCTTTTTCATGATTCAGTGGATGGTGGTGCATGGCCGTTCTTAGTTCGTGGAGTGATTTGTCTGGTTTATTCCGATAACGAGCGAGACTCTAACCTACTAAATAGTTGGTACATACTCTTTGTGTATACAGCTTCTTAGAGGGATTTGCGGCGTTCAGCCGAAAGAAATTGAGCAATAACAGGTCTGTGATGCCCTTAGATGTCCGGGGCTGCACGCGCGCTACACTGGCAAAATCAACGTGCTTGTCCTACCCTGAAAGGGGCGGGTAAACCATTGAAAATTTGCCGTGATTGGGATCGGAAATTGCAATTATTTTCCGTGAACGAGGAATTCCAAGTAAGTGCGAGTCATCAGCTCGCGTTGATTACGTCCCTGCCCTTTGTACACACCGCCCGTCGCTGCCCGGGACTGAGCCATTTCGAGAAATTTGGGGACCGTT